TGAGTGTCTGTTTTAGCATACATTTGCCTGACTGGATTTGTATTTAAAAAATGTTAAATAGTATTTTTCGTATCTAAAATTTATTTTTCACATATTTAGATTTAATTCTTACCAGTACAAATTACGTCACTTTTTCCCCATTCGTCTATCATTCGGCTGTCACTTTCAGATATCTGAAATGTCTAAATAAATATTCTAATAAACATATATTGGCAAAAATGCAATTAGGAAATCTGTAAATACAGTAGGGATGTAGTTTTTACCAGGAAGATTGCTATTTTAGTGATCTACAAATAAAACAACAGCGAGGAAATAATTGTCCTAACTGCCTGCCCAAGTGGTGTTTGCTCTTGGCTTGGCGAAATTCCATCTTGGTTAAGCAGCCAAAAAATGCATAGTATAAGTTCAACATCAACCAAGACAAATACAGTCTGCCAAATCTACTTTAAATATACGTGTACGGTAAACATCCTGCTATTTACAGTAGTTTTGTGGCTCGATTCAGCAAAGTACAGTACTTATGGATAACCCAAACAATTCTGAAGTAAGTGGTTTGTTATGTACAAAAGCAAAGAACTGACATATTAAATTATTATCTTGAAATACTTTGTTAGTATAATGGCAAATCTTTACCTTTTAACCAGTCAGTGAGTTATGGATGTTTTAAAATGTTGGATGAGTGGACAATTGGTCCAAAAGAGGAGTCCAATCGCAGCTCAAGTAGGACATTACAAGAGTAGGAGACTTATGTCTTCTGAAAGCCACTGCTGTTTTCACCTCAAAGGAGCTTTTCATTGGATTAACTATGCGGTTTGTTGGCTATATCAGCAGGTTAATAAATAATAAGTACTGTATTATGATATTAAAATAGGTACATTACATTCAGTATAGATTAATCCTATAAACATACAAGGCCAACCACAACATAGGACAAAGGAGGACACATAACCAACACTATGATGATGTCATACATTTTAGTTTAACACAAATCCACAATAATCGGTCTCTGCTTTGCCTGTTATTGCTCACCAATTAACTATCACATTCCCGAGTTTATTAAAAGGCATCACTTAACTATTTTAAAGTGTAATAAAACTGCTAACTTTTAGTCCTGTGACTGGAAACCTGTCCAGGATGGACCTGGTGTCCCCGCCTCTCGCTCATTGACTGCTGGAGAGTCACCAGCATTTGAATCCTCATCATTTGAGTGTCCTGGTTCAGCGGCTCATCAGGTGAACGGCTGCTTATTTATTGACTGACAGCCGCTCTCACTGCAGCTCTGCCTGTTTTGGTTCAGAAAAGCAAAGGTGGAATTATTATTTTTTTTTTTTACATTTTCCAAATCGGACCCAGTCAAATGCGGAACATTGTTGCGCATTCCGCCCCTTCTTAAAAAAAAAAGCGTCATGTTAAATTACTGGTGGCCCTAGTGCTGCAGACCTCTGACTGATAGCCTTGCAGCCACAGGGCTGTCAGTCAGAGAAAATCCTGACTTTGATTTTCTTATAGAGGTCAGGAGAAAAACATTTCTCTTCCAGGGTCAAGACATTAAAAAAATTTAAAAACGATGTATTGCAAAAATTAACGAACTCACTATTAAATAAATATAAAATTTGAGGTCTGATTAAACATGATTATAAAATTTAAATAAATAAATAAATACCTATTTTAATATCATAATAAAGTACTTATTATTTATTAACCTGCTGATATAGGCAACAAACCGCATAGTTAATCCAATGAAAAGCTCCTTTGAGGTGAAAACAGCAGTGGCTTTCAGAAGACATAAGTCTCCTTTCCTTGTAATGTCCTACTTGAGCTGCGATTGGACTCCTCTTTCGGACCAATTGTCCACTCATACAACATTTTAAAACATCCATAACTCACTGACTGGTTAAAACGTAAAGATTTGCCATTATACTAACAAAGTATTTCAAGATAATAACATTAATATTTCGGTTCTTTGCTTTTGTACATAACAAACCACTAATTGTTTAAAATTACTTAATTCAGAATTGTTTGGGTTATCCATAAGTACTGTACTTTGCTGAATCGAGACAGAAAACTACTGTAAATAGCAGGTTCAGCTGACGCTCTTATAAGTGGCGTAGTAGCAAAGGCACACTCAGTAGGGTTAAACAAGCGCACCCTTTCTGAGGCTGTCGTTCTATTGGCTGGAAAGGTTGCTAAGCGACAATCCAACTGCAATCTGAGAGAGAACAAAAAAAATCCTCAAGCAGAGCCTACAGGTTTGCGAGCGTAACTGAGACTCGAGCAGAGCGCGGTTTGTGCGCGAAGATAAGGAGGCAAGCGAGAGGAGAAAATATCTGTGCAAGAAGCATTAAATCTGAGAGAAGAAACAAAGATTTAAGAGAGAAGAGAAAATATTTGAGAGAGAGCGCATGTTTTGAGTGTGAGCATTATAAGTTTTGAGTGCAAGAAGATGAAATTTTTTCTCAAATTGAAATGATGTGCTCTTGCATTATGGCAGGATAATTCTCCCATAGATTCGAGTCAGGGACAGCCGATGAAGTCTCACAAGCGCTCCTTGCCTGTCAGCCAATGACACACTGAGTAGACCGATATTATGCCTCATAGAGTCCTGTTGTTATTGGTTTAGACCACGTGGGCTGTTTGGCTTTGTAGCCAATAAAATAGGGTTTCAAACAAGGGTAGACATGGCTGGGTTGCATAAAGCAGAGCCATGTTACCGGCTTGCATAAGAAGGAAATACACTGCTGAGGCTATCGGTGCGCACAGTTTGGACAAGTTTCGACACAGATTTTGCGTTGCCTAAAAAAATTTAAAATACAGCTCAGAAAAGACACTGGGGCTTATTTTACCTTGGAAAACAGCAGTTTCACTATTATTTATAGATTTTTTTAATGTTATTTTAGGTTTATAAATGTTACTTTTGTTATGTACACTGATTCTGAAAAAAAGTGGAAAAATACTTGCTTCATAAATCTTTTGTGGCCATTCTAATGCTTCAGTGTTATTCTATGGGTGAAATAGCAGAGTAAAAGCATTGGGCAAAATTTGGCCCAATCTCGTACATTTGGAGAGGTTGGAGATGCTGTTGACACCAAAAGTTCAAAGGGACTGTTGAAGCTAGAGGTCTGACATTTTCTGCATTTGTGGTTGACATGATGTAGAACAATTGTAATACAATGAGACATGCCTTTTCTCAAGCATGTCTTTATACTGCTGTTAGAAAACAACCTATTACCATATTTAGAGAAGAAAAAAAAACAACTGAGTCAGGTTTAAACTGATGCAGCTTAGGCTCATTTACTTTCAGAAACTAGAAGTTTTTTAGCTTTCAGATGATGTATCAAACATGTAATTTGGGCTTACAGTTCCTCGGTTATTTGCTTTTCCATTTTGGTATGCAAGATAGGCAAGGATTACTTCAAATTAGGTGGGTTTAATGAAAATAGCCATAGGAGAAAAAAAAGATCTTTAAACAAAGAGAGAATAAACTCTGGAAACAAATATTTGTCTATAGTTCTCCTATTCTGTACTTTTTAAACCTATGTTTTACAGAACAGATATTAGTTGCATAACAGATTCATATTTAGATATTTAATAAAAGAGTAGATGCTTAGCAAAATACTAAGCATAGCTTAAGGTTTTAATCAAAGTGTTTGAATCAGTGTGACAGTGGGGCTGATACTTATCTCCAGCAGTTTATGGGAAAGACTGGGTACACCCTGGACAGGCTTCAGATATTCCCAAATTATTGCTGGATTTTACTAGCCTGGCCAGCCATGTTTAACTGACTTCCTGCCAGATCAAAGGCAGGAAGTCAGTTAAACATGTCAAGCCAAGAAAAGCAAATGCGTCCTAAAATAAAACAATAAAAAAACCACTAAAGATGTCCGTTGTTAAGGTTATAAAGTTAGATCAATCTCACTTACAACATCAGGAAGGGGATCAATAAAACATTGGGCTAATCCCAAACCTGCCCCTAAGCACTAACCCTGAGCATTAACCCTCCGCGTTCTCGCAGATGGTCCACCAAATTAAGGGCCATCACAAACAACGTGGTGGGTAGGGCAAGTCTGCATTAAATGCAGGCTTGCTGGAATTTGGTAGCGGATGTGACAGTGGCTTGATGACGGAGGAAACTCATGCATTTAAATGTAAGTTTCACCGGTTTGCTGCATCTTCATCACACTGACGAAAAATCATATGTATAAAAAAATCAATAAATCAATTCCAAAAGGGAAAGTCTTCTTTGAAATAGATTTTGTGTAGCCTTAGAAACAATTGCTGTCTTTTTCCGTTGGAGGGAAGAAGCCATCCCATTCTCTTTTATACCCCCCTACCTTAATTCAAGGCCCCTTCCACAACTGCAAGTGTCACTTTATTGCGAGTGAGACCTGATAGTTAAATGTTAGCGGTTAGTGAATGATTTGGGATTCAGCCATTGTTCCATTGCGGTTACCATCTTGGTGTTGTGCTGGCAGAAACCAGAAAGGAACAGAGAATGGCGTATCATAAGGTTTTGGCTCCTGCGCTGTTATTGTTCTGGAGTCAACAATGCTTTACCAGACTGAATTATGCTCTTTGTTATTCAGGCTTCCTGGCCAGGCTAGCATTTTATTGCATCCTCTGGAGTTTATATTTACCTAAAAGATGATCAGATTAGAAAATCTCTGACAAAGGAAGTATGCATAAAGTCCTAAACTGTGGCCATAAGATTGAAATGGATGTGAAATGATCTCTTTGTTTTTGTTTTTTTTATTTATGTAACTTCTCTACAGATAATACAATCTTGCCATACGAGGCATGCAATGGATATGTTCATATACACTATGATGGTGCCTGGAGACGAATCAGTGAAAATGGCTTTAATATGAATGCTGCTAATGTGGCCTGCAGGCAGATGGGCTGTGGTCCACCATCTTCATACCTTAAATACAATAACTACTGGTCTGATTATTACTTTGAAATGAGCTGTTCAGGAAATGAAAGTTCTCTAACAGAATGTCAGAATGGTCATGTTACATATCATAGTGGACCCCGGGCTCATGTTTCGTGTACAGGTAAGACTGATAGTTAAACGCTTCAGAAATTCTGTTATTACTCATAAAATATTTCTTGTTTAATTATATTTAATAAGGAATATTGTACTGTTGATCCTTTGTGATTACCTTTAATTAATTATTAATTAATAATTATTTTATCATAAGTGCATCATTTCCCGCCTGTTAGGTCATCCAGTCAGATTAGTGGGACCTTCTCGATGCTCTGGAAGAATTGAAGTCTTTTACAATGGCGCATGGGGAACCGTGTCCGATAATGGCTGGGACTTGAATGATGCTCAGGTAGTCTGCAGACAGCTGGGCTGTGGTTTAGCCATTGCTGCCCCTCATTCTGCCTACTTTGGAAAAGGAACTGACAAAATCTGGGTTGATAATGTTATGTGTACAGGGAGTGAAACATACCTGACCCAGTGCTCATTAAGTGGATTTCAATCACACAACCTTAGTCACAGTCAGGTTGCAAGTGTCATCTGTTCGGGTAAGGAAACACTCTTTAAGTTATTTTGGTGTCCTCTAGAAATACAAGGACCACAGATATACACATTTTTAATGATTGTAGTTTTATTTTTTATATTTGGAAAATTAGGACAGCAGGGATGTGATAATGTTTGAGAAAAAGGAATCTTTGCAAACAGAAACTGTCTTTATCTTGTTTTTAAGAAATTAGTATTAAAATAATTGTTAACATATTAACAAATAAGGCTTTAAACCTTACCTTCCAATTAAGGAGTTTTGTGCTTGCAATAAGTGGCCATGTTGCGGGTGATCTGTGAAGATTGCTGAACAAATGTTAAGACATGCAAATAGATTTGGTCGGGCCCTTTTAAATTAACTAATTGCTTGTAATACTGTCAGTTTGAGAGTGGCTGTAAAAGTAAGATGAGATTCTAAGTCTTGTAATTGGAGTTTTTAAGGGTTTAAAATCTGAATATTTTAAAATATGAGTTGATTGATAGACTTTATTGATCTCAGAGTCGACAAATTTATTATATTACCAAATATAATTTATAGTGTACTTCACATAGCTAGCACGTGCTACAAACAAAAGTAAACAATAAAATAATGAAAATAACTTAAGTTAATAAGAATATAAAAGATAAGATACCATAAAACATAAAGAAGTTGTTGATAGCTATTTTTTGTTAGTTTTGGTTAAATTGTATAAGGGATTGTCTGCTATCCTGTTACTGTCAGCCTGCATAGAAATTGGTTTTGGATCTCACACCAAGACTTCTGTCATCTGCATAAACACATTCACTCTATGTCTCATTGTATGAAACCTCATAATCAAAAAGGGACAGCAGGCTTTTAGAGTAGAACAATAACTATAAGCAAGACAGGCATAAGCTACTGTATTACAGATAGACACTGATATATATAAAAAATTCTCTTGATATGTCCAGTAAATTATTTAACAATTTTTTTCAAGTATTTTCTGTTTCAAGCCTTAAACATTGCACATGTGTTTTGTCCTCTGTTGTTTAAGCTGGCCAAATAAGGTTAGTTGGACCAAACAGGTGTTCTGGAAGAGTTGAAATCTACTACAACAGATCCTGGGTTGCAGTCTGTAATGGGAGCAAAGACTTAAATGTAGCCAGAACAATCTGCAGGCAACTAGGCTGTGGTACGGCTCTAGGTCTCCATCACTTTGGAGAGGGAGCAGGGCAAACCTGGGTGGATGATTTGGCATGTACAGGAAACGAAAGACATATCTCAGAGTGTTTGAAACCTGGATCTGTGAGACAGGACTGTGCACACAGTGAAGATGTTGGTGTCATCTGTTCAGGTATGAAGCCATTTTGATTTAATCGGTTAATCTGATTTAACGGGTGCCAACTTTGCACCAAATTGAAAATATGCAACAAACTAAGCCTTAATAATTCAAAAAAGTTAAATAAATCAGTCCACTGGACTTTTTTCCAAGCTTGAAAACATTTTGCTTCCCATCCAGGAAGGCTTTAGTCCAGTCCTTTGTTTTTTAAACTTTTTTGGAATGTCCTGGATGACTCAGAATCTTCACCAGTTAGGCTTTGGCGGAATAGCAAATGTATTCTCTGAATTGCATCCCTATTACGGGTACTAAATCTATTACATTTGTTAAATTTTTGAAGATCTTTATCTTTTAAGGTTGAAGAAAAACTGAATTGGTAATTTGCTATATGTGTTTCTTGTTTGTAGGCCTAATAAAGCCCACCATCACCATAAACCCTCAAAGTGACATCACCCTGGGTCAGAATATCAGCGTCACTTGTTTGGTCCCTAACGTACAACTTGGAGGAACATTCATCTTTAAATGGACCTCAGATGCATCTAGTCTGACTGTTGAGTCAAACAGCAGCTCTGCTACTTTTTATATTCCTCAAATTGGTTTTGAGCATGAAGGATCATATCAATGTCAGTTTCGAATAAGGGTTTCTAATGAAGACTTCATCACAGATTTTAGTAATTCTGTTCAGCTAAATTTAAATGGTAGTGTATCTTTTCACCTTAACTAATTTCTGACATGCACAATGGATGACTTATGTATGGAATATTAAGTCAATATTTTGTTTGTTTGCTTTGTAGCAATTCTTCCAAAACCCAGCATTACCATTGAACCTGCAGGTGTGATTACGTTTGGTGAACTTGTCACTATCACTTGCTCAATCTCAACTCAGTTGTTGAATGGATCATTCATTCTGCAGAGAAGGCCAAACTACAGTAATTTTTACGATATGAAGAGTCAATCGTCAAGCATCAATTCTTCCATATTCAGATTTCTTGAAGTCACCTCTGATCATGAGGGATATTACAGATGTTATTATACAAAAGCAGTAATAATTCGAACTCTAACGTCACCTGTAAGTGATTCTCTTCCACTTTTTATCACTGATACCTAAGGTCATGTACATAAACATGGGTTTGTGAATTTTTACTTATTTTGCTTATTCTTTAAAGTTAATCCCTTTCTTTAATCCATCTTCATTTCCTCTCCTTTTAAATACCATTGTCACATCATCACACTTTTTTCCAGCCCTGAAAGAAAGGGATTTTTATAATCATACACATCACAGCAGCTCTTTTATATATATATATATATATATATATATATATATATATATATATATATATATATATATATATATATATATATATTAATGTGGGGAATTAATCTCAAAAGGATCATGTTTGGATGATCCTGTATGTTTTAAGCAGTTCTTTAATATATGTTTTCTCTATATGTAACAACTCCATGGGGTCTTTAAGGCTGGTAAAAAATATCTTAATAAATGAAATCTGTTGTGTGAGTAACTTGATGTAAATGAAAAAAACACTGATACAGTGAAAACACCTGTGTCAGGATGAAGCATGTAGATTTGAAATTATTTTCATTTTCCTTTTAGATAAAAACAAATTTTTTGTTTTCCTTTTTTTTGTTTGCAAGCTCTCTTTTTTTCCCTCTTTAGGGTCTCTCCTTCAGTTTTTCCAGCAAAGGTTACTACTATGACCTCTGTTTTTGTTTTATTCTCAGAATTCTACACAACAAAACAAACGATAACGTCCATACAAAAAATAGATAATTGAACTTTATTGATCTCACACCTGAGAAACTTATCTCTGCATTTAACCCATCCCTTTAGGGAGCAGTGGGTTGCCATTGTGCGGCACCCGGGGAACAGTATGGGGTTAAGGGTCTTGCTCAGGGACCCAGAATGCAGGGTGTGGGGATCAAACCGGGTACTTACAACCTTCTCAGAGCACAAGCCCACTGCTCTAACTACTAGGCCAACACTCCCTTTTATTAGCATAATTCAAGGGATATTACAGGGATTATGATAATATATAGTTCCTTTACCCAGTGCATTTTAATATCCTATAGTTAGGGTGGTTAAACATTTAAGGACGTTCAATATGTTCCATACAGTAAACACAATGCCGGTACTAGAAGTGGTCTAGCTACTAGAAGTGATCTAGCTACTAAAGCTACTTAATATTTAACTATATTTTACTTAATATTTTTGGATATACATTTTTTTTGACTTTGCACCTTTGTGTCTTTATTCCATTTATGACTTGCTGTGTATAAAGCAATGTCAATGAGCTATGGGTTGATCAGAGGAAGTAAAATTTGTTTTTTGTGTAAATGCAAAACTATGGTGTTGACTTATGGGAGAATAAAAAAAATAAAAAAATAATAAAATTTCTGTGGAATCAAAAATGTTGCTATGACTTGTCTTCTTTTTAAATACAACTTTTTTTATTACTACTGGAGGGCGTAATTTTGTTGTTGTTGACAATACCATCATAAATTTGAATAAATCTTAACGATTTAGGGAGTGTATGTTGCAACATTTATTGACATCTTGTAACTGTCAAGAAATAGACACTTTCAGATTTTTTTCAAAACTTATTACACATTTGTTTGCATTATGCAATAAAACCACCATAGTTGTCTCTTTGTTAATAGACCCTGCAATCAAATTGTTGCAAAAAAAACCTACACGACTAGTTGGGAACAAATCTGGCTTGATGGTCTGGTCTGCTTTGGAAATGAACCTTCTCTAGCCATTTGCAGGCAAAATTGATTTGGGATTGAAAATTGTGGACTAAAATTGTTTAACACTAGAAAGCCCAGAGATAAAAGATTTTTTGTCAGCCTCCAGTCCCCCAACAGTACTTCACAACTCATGAATCCCTTTTCAGATGTAAAAATCCCTAGTAGCACTGTCGTTGGAGAACCATTTGACCCCCTTCAGTTTCGGTTTTTGCTCAAGCCTATCTGTTGGAGAGTGTTTAAAATGAGAGCAGGGGGGCAAAAAAAAAATCATATTTGTAATTAGATATAACTAGGTCTACGTCATCAGTGTCGCCAACACCGGAATGATTTTAGAGAGCGGAGGCACCACGCAGCCAGACGATAACTTATCTGTACAATAAAAATAGCTGCATGAGCTGGAATGCTGTAGAGAGGAAAAGCAAGAATTTTTATACAATAATGACCATCTGCCCTATTTACTAGAGGGCAAATATAACCCGAGTGTTCTTTCCCTGCATTAGAGGAGAGACAGCATTGTGAGACTGCAGTGAAGTTGGCAATATATTCACAGATTCGGCTTTTCCGGATTAATAACTCGTCGGCGGATTATTTATTCTACAAAACAGACACCTCTCCACAACCACAGCAATGCAGACAGTGAGCTACAACCGTAGTTTCCACAAAACGAGTGTCCTATCGCGCTGGGAGAATTACATTGGACCCTATGCAGAGCTCACTCCTCCGCAAATGCTTATGCAAATGATGCAAGTTGCAACACCATAAAAATAATCAGAGAGAAATATAAAAATGTGTCACCAAGGAGAGGTGGATTATTATCAAATTAATTTCATGAGTATCTCATCTCATGATGTATCTAATACCATATTTATTGGATTAGAAAATAATCCTTTTTTGAGGAATTTCCCAAAGCCTAAATGACAAATGGCACCTGTATTTTATTATTAGAATCAGTATAACATGAGCAATGACTACACCATAGAATCTATGGTGTAGTCATTGTAGTGCCACCAAACTTGTAGTAGGCATAGATAACCTCATCTGGATCATACTACAACTCCTACTTTGAGAAAATGTGCCAGAACTGTATTTTTGAAGATTTTTTCATTGTTATCATAAGCATATCATAGCCAATAATTACACTATAGATTATTGTAGTATCACCAAACTTGTAGGACACATCTTACTTTAGGAAAATGTGCTAAACTCTCTATTTCTTTAGATTTGTTCATTGTTATTATAAGCAGGCCAGTTGTGCAATCTCTGCAACAGGAACCACAGGACTGACTGTTGTGTGCACTGCACAAAGTATACCTGTCACAAATGCAGGAAGGACTAACCTTGCGTTTGTGGAAACTGCTAAATGGGACAATTTTAGCTTCATATGCAGTGCTTTTCCTTGGGTGAAATAAATGTTACTCCAATACTGAAATCATACTGTTTGTCATTTATTTTCTAAGCTGAATTGTTGAATGGCATGAAAAGGCGAGACAAGACAAATTGCAATTATTCTCTAAGTTGTTCTTTCTTTCACATAGTGAGCTTTGCAATATAAATGAGTCTCTTGGTAAATGGACAATACAAATAGGCTCTGCCTTGACTTGTTGGAAAAGCATGGTTATGACATGTTCTCAGCTCAGAACTAGGACCCGTATGATATCTGATTGTTCAATAGATTTGCCTAAGTAAAAGATTTAGATATGTCTTATCAATATATTCCTGCAAAAAGGTCTGATGTTGCAGGGGAGGTAAGGAAAAGTGCTTGGAACAAGCTCTTGCTCCAATAGGAAAATCTCCTGATGGCAGGTAGTGATGAATCGATGCGGGACACATCGAGCAAAGGTGAACTGGTTTCTAGACATTCTCTCGGTTCGGCAGAATCCGTACAGCGAGCATAAATCCATGATATTTGCAGCAATAGCACTAGTATTTTTTTGGACGTAATACTGGTTGATAAACGTACTTCATATTGTGAAATGTTTCCTGGTTGTATAGCAACAAGTTAAGCAAGGATTTGGTCTTAAAAGCAGCAAACAAACAATGCCAGCATTCTCCCGTTCCACACAGAGTCAGGCATCAAGTACCAACTCTTCTACCTTCAAATTTCTAATCATGAGGGAGATTGTCAGTGTTATTACTGTATAATACAACAGTGAATTATCAAACTATACTGTCTCTTTTTATTCCAGTTGTTACAATTTCTATTACAGATGTATAAAGTAAAAATATGGAGATATTACACAAACATGTAGTAGTCTGTAGTTTAGAGTTGCTACTCAAGTGATAATCTAGTCATCTTTATGGCCCTTTTTTTGAGCAGCTCATAACTTAAATGTAGATTTGGAATAATTTTTTTACACATGAAAACTGTCATACACATAATCTAGAAGAAACCCATGAATTTCTATCTGTCTACACCTGGGGTCTTAACATGGGTAACTTTAAATAGGAGGGATCCTATAGTTTTGTTGTACTTTAAGACAACAGCTAAATAGTGAAACAACGGACATATTTGCAATGCACTGCTTTTTTTTTCTATCTCCGCTTCTGTCTCCTTGAACCCCAGTCAGCCTCGGCAGATGGCCGCTCACACTGAGCCTGGTTCTGCTGGAGGTGTGAGGGATTGCCTTCGAGTCAATAAGTCGAAGCAATCAAATGGTTTTCCTTACCTTGAAAACGTTGAATCAATTTGACTGTAAGACCTGGTTGAATTGTCTCTGTAAAGTGCCTTGAGTTGACATGTTGTGAATTGGCGCTATATAGATAAACAAAATTTAATTTAATCTACAAGGGTTGTAGGCATAGCAGGTTCATAGTAAGAGTTAAAACAAAAAAAAATTAAGAATGTATTAAACATAAGATTGTATCTGTAGTCGTGCAAGATCCTAATGTTTCCAGAATCGACTCAGAACTGCTGGCCGCAGCCATCTTTTGAGCCTCACAGCGTTGTAAATCCAGTAGTTCAAATCTCGCGGTATAAACTCTTGTGGTAATCTACACCCATCCATAAAACTAGTGCAAAAACACCATAAGAATAATGGGCTACTCCCTCCCCTCTTTAGATCATGCCCGTCCCTGTGGCATGGTAAATACAAGACCATTAATGGTTAAGGAAGGAGGGTTCTGCTGTGTCATAACTTAAGGCTTAAGTGTAAGATTTTTAAATGTTTTGGAATACGTTTTGAACAACTGAAAGTAATGGGTTTCCTAATACAGAATACAAAAGATGCTGGGGTGAAGGGCGGCACCTTTTTAAGCGGTTAAACACTAAGTCACCCTCCACATTAGCAGAATGCAGAATGACTCAGATTGGACCGCCTCAGAGTCCTCAGCTTCTAGAGCTACTTCAGTATCAGGTAAGGTTACTTCAGGTAAGTTCACAGGTTTAGGTGTGTGTTTTCGAGGAGTGTCTTCTTCAACCACTTTAAACCACAGAACCACAATAACAACCACACTCTGGAAATCATCCTGCTTGCCTTAAGGTGTCTTCAGAACTCTAACTGACCGAATGTGCTGTTTGCTCTTTTTGTG